CGGAGACAAGCGGGCGCGCGTCCGGGGGAAAGTACGTCGCCCGCCACGCCGGCGAGTGGGGCCGCCTGCGCTGCTGGCGGGAGACCCAGCAGAGCGGCAGCCAGGCCGGCTCGCACGAAGCGGGGCCACCCCCGACAAGTCCCTGCCTCTGGTCGGCCGCCAGCAAGCCTCCGATGGCAGCCCGAGGAGAGCCGCCATGAGGCTGACGCATCCCATGATGGGGCTCCCGCCATTAACTGCCCCGACCCCTGCTAGGGCAGCTGGCGAGGCGGCGGCAGCACGCCTGCCAGCAAGAGCGGCAGGATGGAGGTGGCGCTTTCCAAGGAGCTCGCAGGGGAAACGTAAGGCCTGCGGCGGAAAGGCCGGTGTCCCGCCGCCAGTCGGGGGCCGCCAGCCGTCGCTGCGCAGGAGGAGGGCGCCCAGGAGGCGGCGGAGGAGGCCGGGACCTCTGTCACCCGCACGCCCTGGAGGGATTCCCGTGGGGTCCAGGGCGACTGAGCCACTTGTCGCCTCTCCGCTGTGGAGGCCTGCAATTCCCATCAGCCGCAGTCGACACAGCAGGGGTGAGGCATGATGGGAGCTGTCGGCCAAAACATCTGGACGCTGCCACCTCGCTCCACAGAAAGGGTCAGTGGCAGGCACAAGAAGCGCGGCGGTTTGCACGCACTTGGCGCACGCCCGGGGTCGGGAGCAGAGCGTTTTGCAGCGGACGTGTGAACGCGCTTTCCCCAACCTGGAGCCGGGCAGATGCTCCGGACTTCAGTGCACATCAGCCCCAGGCCGCAGGGCCGCTGTGGTCAGGCCCGGGTGAGTGCAGAACACCCGGGCGGCAGCCGCCTGGGACGGCAGGCGGGCATGTCGTCCCGGAGGACGCGGCTGCTACGGGAGGCGCGCAGCGCGGCGCGGCGGCGCCTCGCATGCATTCCCGCGGACGCGCCGGGCGGGGGCGCGCGCAGTGCCCGCCGCCCGGGGCGCCGCGGGTCTGGCCAGGGTCACGCGCCCGCGGCAGGCGGGGAGGAGCCGCGCCGCTCCTGGAGGCCGCCCCCGAAAGAGCGCAGGGCGGCCCGGCCGGCGCTAGCCCGCCCTCCCGCGGCCGGCCAATGGCAGAGCGGGAGGCGCCCGCCGCCTGGCAGGAGCCCCGCCTCCCTCCGGCCTCAGCTGCCCGGGTGCCGCCGCTCCAACTCGTCCGGCCCAGCCGCGCGGCAGGCCGGGAAGGTTCCGGGCCAGCCATGGCCGACTCGGCGGCGGCCGCCGCCGCCCCGGAGCCCGCGGGGAAGCCGCTGCAGGGCGCCATGAAGCTGGCCAAGGGCGCCCTCGAGCTGGACGCCGGGGACCGGCCGCGGGTGAGCACGCCCGCGAACGTGTGGGCGCGCCGCGCGCGTCGCCCGGTGCTGGCGGGGCGGGACCCCGTGCCGTCTGCGCCTGCGGCCGCCATGCGCTCCCCATTCCCGGCCGGGCCGGGCCGGGCCGGGCCGTGCGCTGCCCGCGCCGCTCCTGCTCCTGCTCCGGGCGCCGCTTTCCCGGCCGTCACGCCCCTCGCAGGCTGTCGCTCCCGCGCCGCCGCCTGCTTCAAGCTGCTAGTCCCTAATGTGCGCGCGTGTGCCGGCTGTCATCTGCGGGGTGCCGTGAGTCCGTCCGTCCCCCCGCGGCGGCCAGGCGCTGGGGCACCTGGTGGGCCGGGCGTTGCGGCCAAGCGTTCCAGTCTTGGGCCAGCCCGGGGCAGGCGGGCGGGCCACTCAGTCGCGGGGCCTCGGGAGGGCTTGTCCTGCTGAAAACTGTGCCCCCGCTGTCTCCCTCTGTGTGGCAGGAGGCCTACGTGGAGTACCTCAAGAGCATCAGCTTCATCTGCCAGGCCCTGCTGGAGGAGGCAGCCGCAAAAGGTATGCCTCAGTTTCCTTTCCGCAGCGGGGGCATAAACGGTGAGTGGCGGGACAGCCCTGTCTTTGCGGAGGTGAAGGACTGCCCCGCTTTGCTGAGCCCCTTCGTTGTCTCCGCTGGCTTGCTACGTGGGATAAGCGGGGCTTTTTCTTTTAGTTATGGCCCCTTTATCCTGTTCTCAGTCCCGAAAGTCTGGAAACAGGAGGGCTGCTTCCGGTGGGCTTACAATATAGGAGGATGTAATGCACAAGGTCAAGAGGATGAGGAGGGGAGAGGAAGCGTGTAAGCGGTCTTTCAGCAGGGCTGGCGGACTGGCTCTCTGACTGCTCCGAACCCGAAGATCCTTTCAGGCTGCCCAGCTCAGCTCTTCCTGAGTTCCCTTCCTCCCACTCCTGCTCTTCAGTAGTGAAGCTCGGCCCAAACACCAAGGATTCATCCGGTGCTCAGTCTCTCGCAGACGGAGGGTACCTGGAGAAGAATCCCTGCTAGTTTGCTGGCTCTGCAGCGGGTAGAGGGCCGTTTGCAATCAAAAACCAAGGAACAGGAAATGCAACAAGACAAATGTCAAATATTGAGAAATGAAAGAGTTTAAAGAGCCAGAGCGCAGTTAATCATTAGGACAGCTGGTTAAATGTAGATTGTTTGTTAAGGAGGGAGGTCCAGAGGGGGGTTCTGAGTGGAGGGCCACTCCCACAGTGCCTCTTTTCCCGGTGGCCACGGATACGCCTTTGTCGGCAGCAGGAAGAGCTGCCAAAATGTCGAATTGGGTCCAGAAGAAACAGGCCCCGTGAGAGAATCGGAGGCAGCAGGGCCCGGGGCGTTTCTTGTGGGACGGGCAAACCCAAGCCGCCGTAGGGGAAGCAGGCAGGGGGCAGATCCTGGCCGGGTGGTGGAGGAAAGCCCGGAGAGGCCTTGTTCGGCGGGCTCTACACACCCTCTGCCTCTCCCTGCAGCAGACGGAGGGGCCGTGACGTCCGATACCCCCAAGATGCTGAAGGTGGCCGAGCAGTGCCTGGAGCGCGCCAAGAGCAGCATTGCCAAAATCGGTGAGCGCGGGTTGTGCCCCCTGTTCCTCTGGCCCCCCATCACCCCGTGGCCTCCTCTGTGCCCGGGAAGCGGGTGCAGTGGATTTGAGTGGGCATCGGGCGGCCCGGCCTGTGCATGTGTCCCCCCCTCCTGCCCCGATGCAGGCCAAGCAAAGGCCAGGCTGTCCCCGGAGGGAGCGCCGGGCCCGGCTCCAGCCTCGCGGCACCGCAGGGTCTTCTCGGACGAAGGCGGGAAGCTGTCGCCGTTCCTCCCCCCCGAGATGTTCCAGAAGCTGCAGATCACCGACGTGCAGAGCGCAAAGAAGTAAGCGAGGCTCTTGGGGCTGAGCCGGGGGCGCTGGCGGTCCGGGCCCCCTTCCCTGGGCGCCTGCCAACGGCCCCCGGCTGCCGTGGAGGGGCCTCAGCCCCTGAAAGGCTGCTGCTTCCCGCAGAGAGCTCAGCCCGCTGGAGGAGGCATCGCTGCAGAACCAGAAGCTCAAGGCCACCTACGAGGCCCGGCTGGCCCGGCTCAATCCCAGCCAGGCCATGCAGAAGACCTCTCTGGCAAGTGGGGCCCTGGGGAGGGGGGCCAGTCCGGCCCGGGCAGCCCTGCGGAGGGAACGGTGGCCGGCCGGCCGGGAGCAGCCGTGAACAGCGGCTTTGCGGGCCTCCATGCGTCGCTCTGCGTGGCGAACGCATCGGCCCCGAGGGCCACTCACACCATGCTCCCGTCTGTGGGAGGGACTAGGGCCAGTCGGTTTTGGGGGCGCCTCCTCCGTGAAGGCCTCCTGCTCCCCATCCCCTCCCCACCCCCACTCTGGCCCCTCGGGCAGCCGCCCCCCGGCTTCAGCCCCACTCTCTGCTCCGCAGACGCTTTCGCTGCAGCGGCAGATGATGGAGAACCTGGTGATCGCGAAGGCGCGGGAAGAGACAGTATCCTTTCCACTGTCGTTGCGGGGAAGGCATGAGTTTCCTCCCCTCGTGGGGCGGCTGTGAGGGCTCGCCAGGACTCTGCTCACCGGGCCGGGGGCGCCTGGGGCTGGTGCTGGGGACCGGGCCGCCCCATGGCTCCAGGTGTGCCGGGGGGAGCAGCCGCTTCCAGGCAGCCTTGACCCTGCTCCACCAGCTGCAGAGGAAGATGGAGGAGCGCCGGCTGCGGCTGCAGGAAGCTGCCAACAGGTAAGGGGAGGGCGGGCGGCCGTGCCCGGCATGTCCCACTGCCCCGTGGGCCGGGCCAGGGAGGTGCCGCCTTCTCCCTGCCGACCGGCCCATGCCTGCGTCCGCAGGAGGTTCTCCGGCAACGCCGTGCTGACCGCGGAGGAGCAGCAGCAGCGGGCACTGTATGCCGCCATCCTGGAATACGAGCAGGACCACGTGCGTGGGCTCGCGTGCGCCCCCGGCTCGGGCAGCGTGCGGCCGGCTTGAGAAGGGGGGGAGGGAGGGAGGCCGGGCGAGGAGCTGGGGGGCAGGCAGCCGGCTCCCGCCATTGGCCTCAAACGGATCGGGCCGTGCGGGCTGCGTGGTTGCCCCTGCCTTGGGATCGGGGGGGGGGGAGGCGGGGAGGACGCCTTGCTCCGGCGCCACCTCGAACGCCGCGCGCTCTCGGCTTCCGCCCAGGAGTGGCCCAGGGTGTGGAAGGCCCAGATGAAGAGGAGCCCCCCCGACCCGTCCCTGGTGCCCAAGCTCATCTCCCACCTGCTCAGGTACGCGGCCGCCGTCCCCAGGTGCTCCCTCTTGCCCCAGGCAGGCGCCCGTGACTGAGCCGTGCCGGAAGGGCTTGGCCCGCCCGCCTCCCCGAAGCATCTCCGGACGCCCCCGCAGCGGCATTCCTCTGGCCTCCGCGTGTCGCTGGCCACGTGTGGGGTCCCGGCGTGGGGCGTGGGGGGCCGCGCAGACGGTCTCGCGGCTCAGGGTGGGTCCCTCTGCCCCGCGGCTCGCGAACCGCCCCTCGTGCCTTCCAGCTGCGCGGATCACCCCGTCTGCCAGCTGCTGAGGAAGCTGCAGTGCGCCGTCTACAGCCGCATCTACCCGCTTGTGAGCCGCGGCACGGCGGACGCCCGGCTGGCCGGGAGGGCCCTCCGCGGGCTGTCGCTCTCCTCCTCGCTGGACGCGGAGGCCTTCCCGGCCGCGGAGGGGCGGCGCCTGCGCGCCTCGCAGAGCTTGTATTCCATGTTCCCCGTCCGGGAGAACGACGCGCTGACCCTGCGGCACAGCGTCTCCGCCGCGCCCTTCGTCGAGGACCCGGCCCCGGGCCGCCCACGCTCCCCCCAGGCGCCGGCCCGGCCCCCGGAGGAGCCGCCCCCCGCCCCGCCCGCCCCCCGAGAGAGCTCCTTCGAGGACCTCGAGCGCTTCCTGTCTGCCTCCGAGGCCTGGGCCGGGGGGCCCCCGCACGAGCCGCCCCCCCGGGAGGCCCCCTCCCAGCAGGAGCATCTCAAGGCGGTCGTGAAGGAGATCCACAACGCCATCGGTGAGGGGCAGCCGTGGGGCTGGGAACTGGGGGTGGCACCGGACGCGCAGTGCAAGGAGGAGCCCAAGCCCGGAAGTCGCTCTGGGGGATCCGGGATTTCGCGTCTTTGCTTTTCTTCCCGTGTTGCGTTCCGGAGCTCTTCCAAAACAGCAGGCCGCGCTCGCGAAGAATGCGGCAGAGTCTTGCCGGGTTGAGAGAGCTCAGGCTTCTAGCCTGGGAGCCTCTAGCGGTATGGGGCTGCAGATCCCATCATCCCCGGCCAGCCGGAGGGCGCTGCAGCCCCACGCCTGTGGAGGGCACCCGGTCAAAAGGGTGAGCAAGCTCTCTGTTTGGGGAAGCTTCCTGGGCACCAGAGGCAGCCGGGTTCCTTCGCATCCCCCGGCAGCACCGTTCGTTCCCCGCAGCAAAGCTCGGGGGGCCTTTTCCCTGGAGAACCTGCCCCCCAGCATTTCCCCGCCCCTCTCCTCTGCACCGCACGTGCTCGCTGGCCTCAGACCCCGGCCAGATCCCTGTGTGGACCCATCCGAATTTGTGGCGCCGCAAGGAAGCGGATCCCACAGCTGTGCTGCCCCCCGCTGGCCTCCCGCAAGCCAGGTAGTGCGTGGCCCCCGTGGGGTTCTGACAGCGGGGCAGAGGAGGCCAGGGACGCTGCTGCCCGCCGGCCCTGGCCCGGCCCCATGCGCCCTCCTGCGCCGCCCCAAGGGCTCCCTGCCCCTCCCAAGCCGCCTCCGCCCTCTCCCCAGACAGCCTCAGCTCCCTGACCCTGCTGGCCTTCGAGAGCCTCGGCTCGGCGGCCGCCAAGGACCAGTGCGTGGCCTGCCTGGAGGAGGCCTTCTTCGCCCCGCTCTGGGCTCCGCTCCTGGCCGTGTACAGGTAAGGGCGCCCGCCGCTGCTGGCAGAAGCGGGGCTCCTCCGGGAATCCCTCGGGAATGCACGCCCCATGCAGCAGCCCCAGCCCTGCGGCCGCACGGAAGGGCTCGGGGTCGGAGCCGCTCAGCCCGGTGGCTTGTCCCCGGATCCTGGCCAAAGCTGTGCAGGCACCGGAGCGGGGAAGCTGGCTCTCGCGGTCGGCTCCCGGCCGGGGGTCCCAGCGGCCCCTCTCCCGCCCTCTGCCCTCTCGCCCGCTCCAGGGGTGTCTACAGGACGCGGGAGGCCACCCTGGCCAGGAACATGGAGCTGCACGGCCACCTGTCCCCCGCCGACTTCGGCATCTCTGCCAAGCTGCTGCCGCAGGGGGGGCAGCCCCGGGGGACGGGGTCCTATCCCTACTGCGCCGCCGTGCAGGAGCTCGCGCTGCTTCCCCTGGGCAGTTGCCCGCAGAAGAAGCTGGAGTGCAGCGGTGAGTCGCCGGACGGAGCGGGGACCCCGGGAGGCGCCCTGGGGAGGCGCGTTCCCTCCTGGCCTTGCAGCCTGCCTGACCCCGCGGCCGGCTCCTTCGGGGGACCGGCCGGCCGGCCGCGGCACAGCCCTCCTGGCAGGGAGGCGGCCTGAGGCCCTCTGGGTGTGGGACTACACCTCCCAGCAGCCAGGGGAAAGGGCTGCTAGCCGGATCTCGAAGGGTGGCATACTTAACGGGCCGCCTGTCTGTATTACATCTGGCGAGCAAGCTGGGAAGGAGGCCGGTGTGAACCGCGCTGAGCGGGAGTGCCGTGTGACGAGGCGACCCCCTTGCCCCATCCTCCGCAGGGGGTCACCACCCCAGGACGAGCCCCAGCAGAGGCTCCAAGCACGGGCTGGCCGAGGGCTTCCTGGGGTCCCCCTCTGGCAGCCTTCCGTGTTCCCCACCCCCAGAATACCCACGGAGGGAACGATGGGGTCCCCGCAGGAAGCCCTCGGCCAGCCCGTGCCTGGAGCCTCCGCTGGGGCTCGTCCTGGGGTGGTGACCCCCTGCGGAGGATCAGCCGGGAAGGACGGGGCCGGGGGACGTGGCCGGGGGCTCGGGGCGCACGGGGGCGGCTGTCAGTGCTCGCCTTTCCCGCCCTGCAGTGCGGACGCTGCGCGTCATCTGCGAGTGCGGCGAGGAGTACTGTGGGGGCCGAGAGGGGGCGCCCCAGCCGGCACCGGCTGCCATGTGAGTGTGTGCGAGCGCCACAGAGGGCGGCCAGTGTGGGGTGCGGCAGGCAACGGCGTTTGGGGCAGGGGGGCTTGCGGGCTGCCTGCGGCCCCCGCTGCGCACCAAGGCCTTGGGCCGCTGCTTTGCTGGCTGGCTTGCCCCCGAGCCCCTCTGGATCCCTGGGTGGGAACGGGCGGGGGGGGACCTGGCATACAGGGGGCTTTTGTGTGCGCTGGGGGGGGGGGCTGCGGCCTTTAGGACCCTATGGTGGAAGGGGGCAGCCCTTCTGCCGGTCTTCACCCCCACGTGGCCCCTCTGGCCGGCACACCTGCTCCTTCCCGGCGGGGGTGCCTGTGCCCCGTGCAGGGGGGCTTTGCCCACGATGCCCCTGCCCCTCCCCCTCCCCGCAGGGGTGCCCAGGCACAGCTGTGCCTCTGGGGCGGATTTTGGGCCCCTCTGCGGCCACTCTGCCACCTCACGCGGTGGGCCGGGTGTGCCGAACCAGAGCAGCCCCCCGGGCCCGGCCCCCCAGCCTGCCTTCTCTGCTCCCCCGCTGCACAGAGGGGCCGACGACCTGCTCCCGATCCTGTCCTACGTGGTCCTGAAGAGCAACCTGCCCCAGCTGGTCTCGGAGTGTGCCGCCCTGGAGGAGTTCATCCACGAGGGGTGAGAACGGGCCCTGCGCGCAGCCTCCGAGGCCGGCCCTTGTGGTCCTCCCTTCGCGGGAAGCGGGCTGGGGCAGCGCCTTCGGACCCGCCACGCGCTCCCTCGCCGGCCTGCGTTTGCCTTGAGGACCGAGACCCTGGACGAAGTGCTCTGGCTGGGAGAGCTTTCTCCACGCCGCTCGGGGGCCTCAGAACGGGGGGCTTTCTCCAAGCCACCCTGCCCGTTGCCCCGCAAGCTCAGCCGCTCGCTGCCGCAGTGAGAGGCTGGGGGCCTTGCCGCCCGGCTCCCTTTTTCAGCACGACTGAAGCGAAGGGCCCTCGCCGCGCCCTGGAGGGGGCAGCGCCATGAGCTTACACGCAGGTCCAGCGGGGGGGGGGGGGTCACCTTGCTTGTCCCGGATCTCCTGCCGGGGGACGGACTTGCCCGGGAGTCTCGAATTCCCTGGCAGAGAGAAGCGTTTGTTCCGCCCGTTCCTTGCTATACTGCACTCTCCCCCCGGCAGCCCTGGAGCTCTGCTGCACCACAGTTCCTATTATCCCCAGCCAGCAGCACCCTCTGGGGCCCCAGCTGTGAGGAAGCCGCAGCGCCCGTCCGTGCCGGTGTCCTGTGTGCCAGACCGAGCGTCCCCTGCGGCCTCTCTCTCGGGAGCGCCCCGGCCCGGCCTCTCTCCGGAGGCTGACGGCCGCCCCTCGTGTCCCCGCAGGTACCTGATCGGGGAGGAGGGCTACTGCCTGACGTCTCTCCAGAGCGCGCTCTCCTACGTGGAATCGCTGAAGGGGCCCGTCCGGCAGAAGTAGCCGAGCTCCGGGGGCCCCGGGCCTCCCTCCCGCGGGAGCGCCAGGCGAGACGCAGCCGCACACCCGCCGCCGCCGCCTTTCCCCGCCTGCCGAAAAGAAACCTGCTGATCGGGCCTCACCCCCGTCCCCCCATCTGTGCAATATTCCTCCCTGGGGGGAGAGGGAAGGCCGCCCCCCAGCCTCTCCGCGAGGAGCTGCGCTTCCCCCTCGCCGCCGGCACCTGCAGCGTGCTTGTTGGAAAGAGCTCCCCGGAGCGGCTTGGGGGGCGGTCCCGGCAGGGGCCCCCTTGACCTCCGGCCCTGCTGTGCCTGCAGGGCCCCCGTTCTTGCCACGTGGGCCAGGGGCACATACCCGCGAGGCCCTGGCTCAAAAGCTCTGCTGGAATTTTAACTGTGGAACTGTTTCCCCGCTCGTGACGGGGAGGGTGAGGGCGGCGCTCTGCCCAGTCCCAGCGCCCCAGACGGGGCTCGGGCGGGCTCCAGGGCCAGGCGGAGGTGCCCACGGGTGTCTTGCCGTGCCTGGAGACGAACGGACAGACCTCACCGAGAGGAGAGTGTGTCTTGTTCTTGCCGGCTTTCCCCAGCGTACTGCGTACGATCCCGGGGCCGAGCGAAGGGTGGCATGCGGGCTCTCGGGGCGAGTGCGCAGGGATCCGCCAGGGCTGCTCAAGCGCTGCAGCTGAGCCAGAGGGGGGACGTGCCCGGCAGGCTGGCCGTCCGCAGCAGGAGACGCCCAGTGGGGCCTCTGGGTCTCAGCGGGTGCTGCCTGCCCCAGTCTGGAGGGCGTCCTGGCAGGGCGGGTGGGGAAGGACAGGGGGTGTGGGGTGCGTGGCACGAGGGCCAGTGCTGTGGAGGGGCTTCTGGCAAGGGGGCTGGTGGGACGCCCTCGAGCCGCAAGGCACGGAGGCCTCTTGGCTGCTCGGCGCAGCCTTCTCGTGCCCCCCCGGCCACTCCAAGGCCCTCGGCCCCACTGCCGGCTCTCCTCGGCCCTTGCCCGGCTTAGCACTCCAAGGCTGTTCCACAATAAACACTCCTGCCTGCCTGGTTGTTGTAGTCATTGCGGGGCGGGGGGGGGGGGGCTGCAGGTGCCTCCAGGAATCCTCTCGGGCTTCAGGCCAGCTTGGAAAGACCCTCTTGGGACAGGCCGGCATGCTAGATACGGCAGGATCTTTTGATTCAGGGGGCCAACTGGCGGTCTGCGGCTGGCTCTCCACGTGCCGGATGGTGTGGAAGGGCCCCCCCACAGCCCCTTGATGCAGGTAGACACGAGCAGCGATGGGGGGGGGGACCAAGCAACCAACCTGCCCAAGGTCGTGCTTGACCCCCATGGTGGGCCGCCACCCCACCTCACGGAGAAGCTGGCCTGCCGCTTGTGCCTCAGAGGGGACGGGGGGGGGGCCGCAGGGAGCGAGTCGTGGGCCTGCTCTGAAGGCCGGGTGGCAGCCGCAGCCCAGCACCCGCCGCGGGCAGCAGGATCTGGCCCAGGGTGCAGCCCGCTCCCGCTCCCCTCCAGCGCCCTTCCCCGCAATTCCTCCTCTCTCCAAGAGCTGCCCATGGCGCCCCCTCCTCTCCAGTGATGAAAGAAAGGAAGGTTGCCGGATTGTCATTTGTCTGCTACTGCTGCAGCCTTCAACGTGCCTTATTTATGGACTGAATTTATCGAAGAGCCGCCCATCAGCGTGCACGCTCTGGCTGGCCGTTACAATAAAAATACCAATCAAATAACATCAGATAAAACATAACACAGTTAAATATCATGATAAAGTAAAGCGAGGGCGACTGTTGCAAGACGGGGGTTGAGCAGGCAGCCGTGTTGCTGCCTGGAGCGGTGGGAGCCTTCACCTGTTGGTTGCTGCCCTGTCGGATGCCTGCCTGTCCAAGGGAAGAGGCGACCGCGGGCGTCCTCGGCTTTCCTTTCCTGGGCTGCTCGGCGGTGGCTGCACGCCCTGGTCCCGGCGCTTTCCCCGTCTGCCGCCCGCTTCGAGGTCCCGCGGCGTCTGCACGTGCTCCCCGACACGCGCATCCCGGAAACCCGCGCGGCCCGTCTGTGTGTATCGCGCTGATCCGCCGCTCTGCAGCCCGCGGGCTCCCCGGGCGACTCGCGAGAGGAACCAAAAGCGACCAGCTCGAGAGCCGGAACTGAAATGATGGGATCAGCCGAGCGAGGGTCCATCCGGTGCTACGAGCCGCTTCGCAGCCCGCCCTCCAAGGAGGAGGAAAGGCGGCGCGTTGGGCGCTCTAGCCTTCTGGACTCTATTGGTCGGGGTGATTGACGTCCGGCCGGCCCAATCCACCACAAGGGCGCTCGGCGTGCACGGCGCATCTGGGAGAGCATCGGCGGCACCTCCTGTACGGACTTCCGTCTCTTACCGGCGGTCCCCGTGTGCCGCGCTAAAGATTCCCCCACTGAGGCCAGCAGGGAAGCCGCCATATTGTGTGCTTCCTTCCCACCACGGCGCCTCGGCTGGCCTTAAAGGCACCGGCCGCGGGGCTCGGCCCGAGACCGCCTCTTCGTGGGGTGGCATGAAGAGCCTTCCGTTCAACAGTGACGGAGGAGGACTTTGTGGCTGGAAAACACGTGGATGGAGGCTCACTGCGGGGGGAAAAGCGGCTTCCTCATGCAGTGGGAAGGACATGGCTCCTCGCAGTCTAGCGGGCCTCGGCATTATTGCCAAGGCGGGCCAGCCCCCCCTAGCGGGGATGGCTCTGCAGGGCAGGGAAGGGTCCCCTCTATGGGACAACTCAGTGCAGCTCTAGTCATGCCCGGCAGGCCGCCTCCTCATGGGACGGCCGAGTTCAGCGAGAATTCCTCCCGAATCCCGGCCAGAGCCCCTTCAAGGGGTGACAGTGTCTTTAGCTCATACAGGCGCGTTTCCCCTTCATGGGGAAGCCTGAGTCCAGTAGCGGATTAGCCCTTCTCCACGAGGCCGGCTTTGTAGACAGGGGCTCTCTGGCCACGCCAGGCAAGCGACCCCTTCATGGGGGGCGCGTGGCTTGGCGTTGCTGGCATGACTTCAGGGCTGAGTTCCGACATCGCTTGCATCCCGCATCTTCATGGGGGCCGGCTCATCTTCGTACCTGAGGCGATTGACCTGGCTCTTCAGGGGCGATTCTTGGGAAGTGCGAGTGCCCTACGTGTGGGGAGGGAAGGGAAAGGAAAGGAAAGGAAACTCACCCCACAAATGGGAGAAGCCCCTTTCCAGGAGGGGTTAGGACCGTGCTCTTCACGCCCCCACCCCCCGGCACTGCTAACGCCCTTGCCGGCAACGGTGCCTGTACGGAGAGGGCTCCCATTCGTCCCAAATGTGGGAGGATTTGCCTGCTTTCCTGGGATGCTCCCCCTGAACCTGTCCCCTCCTTTCCTCTCCCCGGCCGAGTGTGACAGTCGTGTCCCGCACTGGAGCAAATTTGCAACGATTTGTCTTTTGTTTCCTCGCAAGCGGGCTGCCCGGGCTCCCCGCCTGGCACTACCCCGCCTAGCGCCAGGCAGGCAGGCAGGCAGGCAGGCAAGCGAGCGGCGGCCTTCCGCCTGCGCGCCGGTTAGCGCCCTCCCGTGGCAAGCCGGGCAGCGCCCGCAGGTGCAGGGGCGGAGCCGGAGCGCCTTTCCGCGCGAGCGCAGGCCTTGCGCGAGAGGCGCTGCGGCAGCGAAGCGGTTAACCGAGCCGGCGGCGTGGCGTCACTCCTTGGGGGCGTGGCCAAGGGGAGCCGGAAGCGGCGGGGGCGAGCGGGCGAGCGGGCGCCGGCAGGTGAGCGGCGCGCGGGCTCGGATCCCCGGCGGCCCGGGGGAGGGGAGGGGCGGGGAGGGGCG